CATCAAACCTTTCAATAAATATATAGCTTCCATAGTAGACCTACCTGGCATGAATCCAAATTGATTTTGAAAAATATTAATATCACATCGCAACTTATGCTCCATAACTCTCCCATAGTTTTAAAGTATGACACATTAACTTAATTTCTCTATAATTCACACAATCTTGTGCATCATCTTTATTCTTAAAATTAGAATTAACACACTCATTCTTTACTCATCTGGCATCTTTTTAGTCTTCAAAATAATATTAAAAAGTTTAATAAGCCGATAAATTCCTATTTCCACACCTCTATTGGAATATCTCTAAAGAAATTATTAAAAAGAGAATGGTAAGAAAAAAAGGTTATTTTTAAAGAACACTATATGTAAAATCATGCAATATATCATGAAGACATCAAGAAAAAGAAAAGTTGAGATAACTCTAAAGAATACACATAAAAATAAAACTTTAAGACAATATTTGTTATACATTAAGGTTTAAAGAGTTGAAGAGCTATTAGGGTAATTTGACTTATAAATCATTTTAATAAAATTTTGAAATCGCGAAGTATGCCAAATCATTAGGAAAAACAATCATATCATATCAAAGATCTAGATTGATTTAATGATGAGAAGATTCATAGTGAGAAAAATTTTGGAGTTAAGCAAAATAGCAAAAGAATATTTAAAGGATCTTCATATGATCTTTATAAATCTTGAAAAAGTGTATCATTGATTGTCATGATAATAATTTGGTATGCATAGCATAGGGTTCATTTTAATACCCTAAATGCATACTATGAATCCCAAAAAATTGCCAAATGATACACCAATGGGTGAAAGTGCATTTAAGTAGATTCATTTTAAAATTAATTTTATTAATTCTTACAAATTAATTTTTACAAATACAATATTAAAATCATTTACGCACTCTTAGCAGTTCTAGAAGCATTAATTTAGTTATGGAGTGACTATAGAGTTCCCACTAGCTAGAGGATTATGTGAGAGATCAATATGAAATTTGATACTTTTTTTGTCAACTGGAGATGCTTACATTTCATAGCGAGTAGCATAGTGTATTTTATTTTCATAGAGAAAATGATCAAAATAGTCACTCAAATTTTTGTGAGGGATCAAAATGATCCTCAACTCTTATGAGATACCACTTTGGTCCCTCAACTCCTTAAAACGGAACCTATATATTCCTCACGTTAACTTTTAATGACAAATTTGCATCTGTTTAAAGCACCAAGGGGTATAATTCGAAAAAAAAGTATAAAATTTTCATTATATGCGTTTGAACCCTTCCGTGGCGTCGAAGCCCCTGCCAAATACGAGTCCCATGTCTCACAGTGAAGCGAGCGTCAACAGTAGCTTCAATGCAGTGGAGTGAGCATCCACAACAGCTTCAACCCAGCATTCCCACATGCATGTCGAACGCAGTTTGAAGTCTCGCACACTCGTCAACTACCACTCCCGCAGCCCTAGCGACCGTCCAAAGCCCTAGCGAGTCATCGATCGAGCGCTTAGCTTAAATCAAGTCAAACACCATATCCCACAATCTAGAGAGCTCCATTCGTTCAGGATCATTGATTGCAACACTTTTGGTAACTTCTCAGGTGTGGTACATAGTCGTTTCACAGTTATTGTTATACTATTTCATGGCTTTGTTGGTTTCGACTTCATTAGATTTTGATTATTCCTTTTCACCATATAAATTTTGCTATGGATTCTTCGTTGTTCACCACACTTATCTCATCCACTACTCCGAAGCAAAGAGTCGCATAGTCGAATATTACAGAACAAAGAGGGAGAGGTATACTTTTTTTAACTTTATTTTGTGGATTTTATTTTTTTTTTCCTTAGCATTTAATAACTTCCAAAAATTTTACAATAGGAATAAATCCTAGAATGAAATAATACCTACTAAGTGGCTTGAAGATTCTAATTTCTCACACCTATTTGGTGGATTAAATGAGTATAATATTATCAGTAATGTAGAGGTTGAGAAGGGTGATGGTGACCCTAATGAAGATAGTGTCGATAGCGATGATGTTGATGATGACGACGATGTCAATATTTTCCTTGAGTGTACAAAAACTCAATTTAAAGGAAAACAAATCATTCAAAGTATTGAAGAAAATTCTCATAAAATTTTTAAGGGGGTAAAGTGTGATAGTGATTGTGTTAACTCAGGTGATGATGCTAGTTTGCATGATAATTATGAAGATAAAACTAGGAAATGGCCAGCTTTCAATCTAAGAATAAATTGTGTTAACTCAGGTGTGATAGTGATTGAGGGACCATTTTGATCATTTTCTCTATTTTCATATGATATCATTCTATTAGTTGATATCACTATCGAAAAAAGTAAGAAGTTAAACAACTGAGGAAATTTTTAATAGAAAAAAAGGCATAGGATTAACAGAGTAAAATTTGGGTACATGATATAAAATTCTAGTAGATGTGAAGTTGATAATTACCAGTTAACATGGTGAGAATATCAAGCAACACTTAGGTGTCATAAGCTTAATATAAAATATATATTATAGTAGTATACAAATAATAGTGATAAAAAAATATAAATTTTATACCTAAATTTGGGCGGTAAAATAGAGATATGACTCAAAAGAACTATACATGAGAGAATATTATGTATTCTTACAAGAAAACTCTATAACACTAAATTTGATCAATTTTTATTAGTGATATAACTAAAAAAGATAAATTGAAATAATATAGTGAGAAACCGACAGATTGTTTGGAAATGAACAAACATGGGTGTGAAATACATCAACAAGAAGGATAGATAAAATTAATATGAAAGTTTTACGAAAAAACAAGGGTAGAGCCAAGTGCATGGCCGAAAGACATGCAAAAAAGATTTTAACAAAATAAAAATCCTCATACAACACTTTGAAAGGAATGGATGATGAGGACTCATATAATCAACTGATCCCAAATGCTTAGGATTAGGGCAAAATGATGATGATTACTACTCACTATAGCATAATATTCTCATGCATTCAAGCAGGAGACATAAGCTCCAAATATAAACTTTAACGCCCAAGTTTCTGATGTGAAACATAATTGCATAGATGAATTGCTTAAAGGAAATTTGCACGCTTAATATTCCAAAGGGAAAGACAAATACGGAGATCCGGCGTAGTCACTTTGGTGTTGGGGAAGAAGTGGGCAGCAACACAAGGTTTGGGAACCTCCTGGACAGCAATCGGAGACCCCTCTGGACAGCAAGACAGCCGTAGGATATCTGCTAGGATGGCTGGACAGCAACTAAAGATGTTTGGATGGTCACTAGGAAAGCCTGGCCAGCAATTTTGACCTTGAACAACTTTGGACAGCAGCCTTTGAGGTTAGAAACGCCTTGGACAGCACTTGAGGGACTTCTGGTCAGCAAACAGGAGCAGATCTGGCAGCACTATGGCTGGTCGGAGTTTCCAGGACAGCAGTTTCTTAGTGGAAAATTGCTGGACAGCAATTTAGAGCAGGTCTTAGGAGCTAGGTTTTGAATTTTGAATCCCCAAATAACGTAGAAAGGGGGGGAATTCATTCCTTAATGAGGGGTTGATTGAAGCAATTAGTGGGAGGTGATTTAATGAAGTAAGAGAGAGAAGGGGGGGGGTGCTAAGTCTAATTAGATGTGGGGTGGAATCAAGGAAAAGAAAAAAATGAAATTAATTTCAGCTTTAAGGGAAATTGGTGGGAAAAATATTTGATTTGAAATTCAAATATCAAGTGGGGATGGGGGGAAATTAAATTGAAATTGCAATTAATCCCATAATAGGGCCGGCGGTTTGGGGAGGGATTAAGGGGAATTAAAGAGGAGCCATTAATGTAATATGAAAGAGAGAAGCCCAAGGAAGGGGGCAGGCCACATGTCTTGGAAAGAGAGGTTTGGATTTTAATTAGATGGGGCCCACATACTAATCAAAGCTTTTAAGAAAAAAAAATCTGAATTAAATTTCAGATTTTCTTTGAAGGGGAAGTTTCCTAATCTAAGGGCAATTAATTGGAATTTATTTGAATTGAAATTCAATTAAGAGGATTGCCTAAAATCATGGAGTTATTTTAGGAAAGTCTTCAATGTTGCTTGGAAAATTTGAATTTCAAAAGCGAAATCCCAAGGAGGGAGGCCGGCGGCTAAAGAGGTGGGGAAGGGAAGATGGGGAGGAAGGCCGGCAGTGGGTGGTCGGCAGATGGGGCCAGCGGCATGGACGACCCAATGGTGGGCAGCGGCAAGGGGCTTATGGGGAGGGGGAAGATCAATTCAAGGGAAAAAGAATAGAAATTTGAAGAGCTAGGGATTTACTCACCTCAAGTACTTCCACCCCAAATCTCACAAAGAAATCTTGGGAAAACTTAGAACTCACAAAGAGATCCTCCTCCTCAAGAACTCACAAAGAGATCTTGGAAATCTCGTAACTCACAAAGAGATCCTTCTCCTCTCATGAACTCACTAAGAGATCAAACAAGTAGAATAAACTTTCATTAACAATTCATCATTCCATTACACAAGAAAGTGCCTCTATATATAGGCCTAAGAAACTAAAACAAGACACATATGCCCTATGGCTTACATAGGACGACCCTCTTAAGTGAGGGTAAAAATGGAAAATTTATAATAAAAAAATAAAAATTATAAATAAAATATAAGATAACGTGGGACGATGACAGCCGTCGATCTTCAGCTCCTTGGATAGACATGAACGGTTGGATGTCCGCATCAGTTTCATAACATCTTAGTAGTGCTTCATTTTGAAGCACATATAAGGGAGTTATGGAGTGAGCGTGCAAGTATAAAATACAAGAATAATTAGACAAAAGGTTGTGAATGATCCAATGATCAACAAAGTATGGTAGAAACAAATTTACTAGGTAGAGAAAGTTAAGAAAATTCAGCAGATGAAAATAATTCTAGTATTAACCAAGACAAAGGAGTCTTAAATATACAAGATGTTCATAATATTTGGGATGTGTTGAAAAATTTTCCAAAATACCTGAACTCAACTACATGATCTACTATGTCTGAAAGTTCAAATGATCTGGTTTTGTTGTTTTTGAATTCTGCCAGTAAAGATGATGTAAATTCTTCTTCCTCCATGATACCATTCTCACGGTCCCATGATCCTTTGGATGCCCCAATTGCGCTTCGCAGCATGGTGGGGAAGCGTGATAATCGACCACTCTGCCTTAAATGATTTCCAGGGCCCATAGAAGAAAGAAAAGCACCAGACACGGGAGTTAAGGGATACGGCATACCAACTCCCAAGGCAGCAGGTCCATATAAGCCATTATTCAGACCAACTTTGCTTAACCCACCATACTGCAATTTCTGCTGCTCAAGAATTTTTTCAATATATGCTTTTTGATACCCAAGTAAGTCTACGTCAGAAGTACCAAAAAAACCCTTTCCAACAGAAGGATCATTAAGGTTTCCAGAAATTGGAGCTGGACTAGAAGTGCTCTGTAAATATGGCACATATGATGGGTCCACAAGTTCTCCCAGGAATTCAGATCCTGGTCGAGTGCCAGGCCTGCCTACAGATTCTGAGCAACAAGCCAAAGCACCACCTATACAAGTAAACCATTCATTAGCAACTAAACCATAATTAGTGGAGCAAAACATTAGCATAAATTTTTAAGATTACGCAAGAGGCGCCTGCATCAAGCTGATCGTTCAAATTTGATGTTTGTCCATGGTCTATAAAATAAACATTTGGGTTTTTTTTTTTGGGTTTTTTTTGGTAAAAGTTAAATTTTCAGTATCATTTTAGTTAAAAGTTAAATTTTCAGCAATAAACACTATATCCTGCAAAATTTCATATCCCTACTGCAGCTACTTTCTTAGAAACGTTATTAATAGATAAACATGTAAGCAAATTAATTTCTTCATCTGAAGCAAATGGAGATATATTATCTTAAAGAATGCTAGCATTCTTGGGAAAATCATTAAATTCTAATCTGGTGATAGGAAAACCACTTAAGGAATTAGTTTCGGTCTGAAGTTGACATGGCACAAGATTTTGTCTACCTCTATTTTTTGAGAGACTTAGACTGGCCAAAGCAGCTTCCATATCACCATAATCAGTCACCTCAGAAGAGATTCTGCCAAAACCGCTGGATAACATTTTTGTATCAGCATCAAACACACTACTACCTACAGAAGGGAGGCAAGGGTTTGATGACCTCCCATTAAGTTGAGGACCAGGAGTTCTACTTCTAGTTAGAGAAGGATCGACAGCAGATGCAAATGACCGAGACAATGAAGAGCCCAGGCTTTGAACCCTAACAAGGCCAGGTGGTGTTCGTCTGGAACAAAAGTTGTCTACAGAATCAATGTCATTACAAAGCTGAGTCTGTTGAACATCAGGGAGCACAAACGAGCTAGAAGCATTTTCAAACGTGTTTTGACTGAATGGGCGTGGAATATGACAAGGAACCGTGGCAGAAAGATTGAAATCATCCTGCAAACACACCATTTATCCATCAGAAAACCACTGCAACTTAGCACAAAAACTTGATGAATATGGTCTGAGGCTTCGTTTGGGGCGGTATTCTTACTGCTTCTTAATGCAGCTTTCTAGTAAAAAATTATTTTTTTTCTACTAGAAAGTTGTTTTAAGAAGCAGCAAGAAAGCTGTCCCAAAAGAAGCCTTAATCTATCAATTGTAACAAAGATCTCGAAATGTCAGCTGCATGAGAAGCTGCAAATAGTTGCTCTAATGGCATTGCAGGGGTAGACAAGTCATTGGAAAGCACAATATTAACATTCAATATTCCATTTAAAGAAAGCAAATTAGCACGTTCCGGAGAAATAGACATAACTTCAATGAACAAATAAACCGGAATATGGAAAAAAAGCAAAGGTGCTCTACCAACAATGCTCAATTAGTGTTCTTTGGTTGTGAGGTAAGTAATTGGAAGTGCTTGAAACTCAATTCAGGAAGCGAGTTTAGGCAAATTGAATTAAATTGATTTCCTATTTTCAAAACACATCTTAAAAAATGTGAGGTGCGTTTCACTTTTAAAGGGCTTGGAACTCACTTTCAGTTTTGCACTTTTGACATTAAATAACCATAGAATCATATAAAATGGAACAAAGGTCTGAATGTAACGTTCACTTATAATAATAATGATAACAGCAATAATAATAATATCAATATTAATAATAAACTTCAAATGGTGACAGGTAAAAATGAAATTCACCACAATCCAAACAAACACAATAATTGATTTCATAAAACGTGAGTTTCGGAAAAATAAACAAATGTCATCGAAACTCACCTCCAAAACTCAACTCTAATCACTTCCCAAAGAGGCCCCCCTTAAACTAGAAAGTGTAGAAATATTAATTAAAATTTTTAATTGACTTAATGCCTTGCGCAAAAAAATTGATTGCCATCCTTTACCCTAAACCCTAAACATGCAATGGGATCCTCCTAGGTTCACAAGTTGTTAGATGTAGGGCATAATTTTTGCAAACAGTTTGATTACAAAGTCAACAAAAAATATTCCTAAATTCTTTAAAATGGTTTAAAAGAGATTGTCTTAAAGTAGTTGTTTACATTTGGAGTCAAAAATAATTACCTAAAAATCAAATTCAAACTTAAGCTAATTCATACATACCATCTAATGATGCTTATTAGAAGGAGATGAGGGCATGGTTTAATGGTACCTCACAGCTACGTATTGTGGAAGAAAGCAAGAACAATTTTCACTTATGTTCCGAGAGGATAGTGAAAAGTTGATGCAACCAAAAACAAACGAGAAGCCTACTAGGTATGCAAATAATCGCTCCCTTTTCAAATAACTTAACCAAACATAATAATAATATAAACATGACAAAACACACATTAAAAGGACGCAACAAAGCTTCTAATAACAAAGAAATATACAAATAGAAGGGGTACCATGGAGAGACGAACAGGATTAGAAGTTCGAGATAAAGTTTAAGAGGAGAAAGGGAAAGAAGCTAGCTCGCAAGCTAGAAAAACCCTCAAGTTTGTATCCAAAAATCATCACATATCCTCTCTCTAAACAACCACAAATAGCCCCAATAAATAGGAAAAAAAAGAAACCCAAAAGACACCCAAGCAGCCATCCAAAACAGCCAACTAGAACAGGAGAAAGCCAAGGGACAGCAGTAGCAACCGAACAGCCAAAGCAAGGGGAACCGAGAAAGCCAAGGAGCAGGAACCGAACAACCAAAGCAAGGAGAACTGATGTAGGCAGGGGGGAGCAATTAATGTGCCTCGTTTTCGAAATGATTTGGTTCCTTGTTTATGCTTGGTTGTCTCTGTTTGAGCTGTCCCTTTTGATGAGTTGCTATGTTTTTCTACTTAACTAAGCTCAGTATGATGATTAATTTCTCTTTTCAGCTCATAAATGCATATCCAGGTTCTTTCCCCCTCTCTGCTAGCCTTTCGGTTCCTCCGCCTGGCTCCTGTCCTGTGGCTGATTTTTCCTGTACCCCGTGGCTGCCCGTTCCTATGCTTGGTTGTCTCTGTTTGAGCTGTCCCTTTTGATGAGTTGCTATGTTTTTCTACTTAACTAAGCTCAATATGATGATTAAATTCTCTTTTCAGCTCATAAATGCATATCCAGGTTCTTTCCCCCTCTCTGCTAGCCTTTCGGTTCCTCCGCCTGGCTCCTGTCCAGTGGCTGATTTTTCCTGTACCCCGTGGCTGCCCGTTCCTATCCCCGTGTGGCCCTTTGGGTGCTGCTCCTAGAGCCGCCTGCTAGCCTTCTATTTTCCCTTTCCTGATTAGTTCAACTGGAGGTGTTTGGGGCTGTTTGAATGCCTCTTTTCACCTATAAATATGTGATGTTTTGAGGCTAAAAAAAAGGATGATATGTGATAATTTTTGGAGTTAAAAACATGCGTGTTTCTTCTTGGAAAAGCTTGCGAGCTTGTTCTTTTTCTCTTCTCCTCTCTATGATTTCGTCTCGGGCTTCTTATCTCTTTCTTCTCTCCGCAAGTGTCCACCCCATTTGTATCTTTCTTCTCAATGAATTCAAGATTCTTTAGGTGTTGTCTTTATGTTCTATCATAAGTTTAAGTTTTATGTTTATCATGAGAGTTGTATGGTGTTGAATGTTTTATTTTTTATAAGCTTCTTTAGGTGCCAATTGTATTTCTTGTTGTTTTAAAAGGAAAACCTAGTTTGTATGATTTTTGCGATCTTTTTGATTGCATCAATTTGGTATCAGAGCCTAAGTTTTTCATGTCTTCCTCTTTTATTAAGTGTTTAGAAAAAAATTAAAGAATTATGGACTCTCATCAACAAACGGAGCATCCAAATCAAGTGGAAGTTGACTCTGAAATTGGTAAAAATCAACCGAATGTTCTTGAAGAAGATATCCCTATGAACAGATGGATTCCGTCGTAAGGAAGTTCAACCGATCAGATTCAAAATGAATTATACAAGCTTCAGATGAAGATCAAAGTGTGTACGGAAAAATACGTGAAGGAAAAGAGACTTCTGCAATACCAATTCAAGCAACAAAGAGAAATGATACTGAAGAAATATGCGGCCTTGATTCAAGAATTGGATGCGGCTCCTTCGTCTCGTCGGGAAAAATCTAAAGCATCCTCATCAGGAGATGAGCATTTTCAACCGGGGAAGAATTTGATGTAGGCAAAGGGGGGGCAATTGATGTGCCTTGCTTTTGGAATGATTTGGTTCCTTGTTTAGGCTTGGTTGTCTCGGTTTGAGCTGTCCCTTTTGATGAGCTGCTATGTTTTTCTACTTAACTCAACTCATTATGATTATCAAATTCTCTTTTCAGCTCATAAATGCATATCCAGGTTATTTCCCCATCTATGCTGGTCTTTCGGTACCTCTGCCTGGATCCTATCCCGTGGCTAGTTTTTCCTGTACCCCGTGGCTGCTTGTTCCTGTCCCCCGTATGGCCCTTCGGGTGCTGCTTCTGGAGCCGCCTGTTGGCCTTCTATTTTCCCTTTCCTGACTGGTTCGGCTGGAGGTGTTTGGGGTTGTTTGACTGTCTCTTTTCACCTATAAATATGTGATGTTTTGAGGCTAAAAAAAAGTATGATATGTGATAAATTTCGGAGCTAAAAAACCTCCTGGTTTCTTCTTGGTAAAGCTTGCGAGTTTGTTCCATTTCTCTTCTCCTCTCTATGATTTTGTTTATGGCTTCTTATTTTTTCTTCTCTCTGCAAGTGTCCACCTCATTTTGTATCTTTCTTCTCAATGAATGCAAGCTTCATTAGGTGTTGTCTTTATGTTCTATCATAAGTTTTAAGTTTTTTATGTTCGTCATGAGAGTTGTATGGTGTTGAATGTTTTATTTTTTATAAGCTTCTTTATGTGCCATTTGTATTTCTTGTTGTTTTAAAAGGAAGACCTAATTTGTATGATTTCTGCAATCTTTTTTATTACATCAAGAACCAGGACAGCCATAGAGCAGGAACCGAACAGCCATCCGCCTCCCCAAATCATCCAAAAGGGGGGCATTGCTTAAATCAATTCTCCCCTGGGAGAGAATTCTCAACTCCTTATGAGAACGCTTCAGAACTTCCATAATGTGCCGAAGGAGCCACATCCAATTCTAAAATTAAAGCCGCGTACTTTCTTTGGATTTTTTTTTCTTTCTCATGAATAAATTGAGCTTGCAGTTGACTCTTTCTATTTTCATATTTTTTCGCACACAAAAACATTTTTTCTTGAATTTTGAAGAGTTCGTTCTGGATTGGATCAGTAGAGCTTCCATGCGGCGGGGTCAATCTGCTTGTTGGAATATTTTCTTCAAGATAAATTGGCTGATTTTCACCAACTTCATCTTCGACTTCTTCTTGATTTGGATCTTCCATTTGTTGATGAGGGTCCATAAATTTTTTCGATTTTTTTATGAAATAGAAAGGAAGACTCAAAACCTAAAGCTCTAATACCAAATTGATGCAACCAAAAACAAATGAGAAGCCTACTAGGTATGCAATTAATCGTTTCATTTCCAAATAACTTAACCAAACATAATAATAATAAAAAACATGACAAAACACACATTAAAAGGATACAACAAAACTTCTAAGAATGACATAACTACCTTATAATTTTTTAGAGAAGAAAGATATAAATGGAAGGGTTACCATGGAGAGAAGGACGAGATTAGAAGTTTGAGATGAAGTTTAATAGAAAGGGAAAGAGCTAGCTTGCAAGCTAGAAAAACCCTCAGGTTTTTATCCAAAAATCATCACATATCCTCTCTCTAAACAACCACAAATAGCCCCTATAAATTGGAAAAAATGAGCCCAAAAGACACCCAAGCAGCCGCCCAAAACAGCCAACCAAAACAGGTAGACCTGTCAATATTGGACCCGACCCGAAAACCCGACCCGAACCCGACCCAAAAATTTCGGGTTTGGGTCAACCCGAACCCGAAATCGCCGAGCGGGTTAGGTTGACCCGGAAACCCGAAATCGACCCGGTTTGACCCGTTTTAA